ATTCCTCTATTAAAACACTTAATAGGGGATGGAAGAAGTCCAGGGTACAATTCACCACATATTCAAACTTGACTTGAATAATATGATGAAACAAAATCTTTGTAAACAAGATTACTTTGCTACAAATGTCTGGATCCCTGAAGTCATAGTATGGGACTTTAATATAAGGTGTTTCTACAACAAAAAGGAAACCAATAATCCAATAAATAACTCAATTGAAAATGAGCAAAAGATCTAAAGAAATACACCATCAGAGGAGATATCTAAATGGTAAGAAGCATATTAAAAATGCTCAATATCATATGTCATTAAGGAATTGAAAATTTAAGCTACAAGATACTGCTACATTCCTATTAGGATAATATCCAAAATACTGAGAACACCAAACACAAACAAAGATATGGCACAGCATGAACTGTCATTCATTGCTGGTGGAGTCCAAACTGATATAACCACTTTGGAAAACAACATGTCGGTTTCTCATTAAATTAAAAATGCTTTTACTTTGCAATTCCATAGTAGCCTTCCTTAACCAAAAGAAATTTAAATATTATGTCCACATATAAACTTTCATGTGTATGTGTGTGGCAACAATATACATAATTGCCACAATTTGGACCTGAGCAAGATATTCTCTAGTAGGTTTCTGGATAAATAAATCATAGTACCTCTAAATAATGAAAATTTATTCAGCACTAAAAATAAATGAATTATCAAGTGGTGAGAAGACATGGAGGAAATCTAATGTCTATTGTTGATTTAAAGAAGCCCATCTGCAAAAGACACAAGCCACATGATCCCAAGTAAGGCAGAACTATGCAACCAGTGAAATGATTATTGATTGCCAAGGATGTAGGGGTCAGGATAGAGGAACAAATAAGCTCAGTAGGAGATATTTTCAGGACAACAAAACTATTGACTATGAGGCTTTTATACCATGGATACATGTCACAATACAGTTGTCAAAACCTATACAATTTAGAGCATAATGTAAACTATGGATTTCAATTAACAATAACGTATCAATATTGGATCATCAAATGGAACAAATGATGAAATTTCAAAGAGAAAATACTTCTTTAATTAGATTTTCAAAGATAACAAAGTATCCCAGATGACAGTCTCCCAAATGAACCCCTTTTCATTCAGCATCAGCTGTACATATTAACATCTCCTACTTTTTGAAACCATGGGTTTATTTTGCCATTTTTTTTTACCTTATAAAAATGGATTTGCATGAATCAGATATTTTCATTTGGTTTCTTTTACAACACATTTTTAATGAGATTCACAAAATTTTATTTCTGTTAATACTTAACTGCCATATAAATTATCAATGTACAAATATACTGCAATTTATTCTTCCTATTATTGAAAGTGATTTATATTTCCATTTTTGAGTATTAAAAATATGCTACTATGAACTTATGCTACTTTTACATTTTTCTTGCTATTCTTACGCTTGTATCTAAGACAGTTCTTGCCAGAATAAATTTGCACCTATAAAAGAAACTTCAGTTTCATATAAAATTAGCATATGCCTTATATATATGGTTGTGGGTCAGCATGGGATTTGCCTAATATTATTTGGGTTTAGCTCAAGTGTCAGGCTGACTTCAAACTTTTTTCATGAGCTTCTTATCTTCCTTGTTCAGTATGTCCTGGGGCATCTTCTAGGTAAAAACGGAAAGAGGGTAACCAGAAAACCAGAGGTTCATGCACAAACCTATATTTAAGACATACCTATAAATATTTTACCAATGAAAATAACATTCCTGAACTCAAAGACAAAGGCAAAGATGTCCCCTGTACAAAGTAAGGAAAGAACAAATGACATTGACAATCATACTCCAAAGGAAAGGATGTGTACTACTCTCCTAAAAGTGGGTGAAAAAGAAAAATTTCCATTGAATAATGTTCTAACCCAGGGGTACACAAATTCTTCCTCAAAGCTCTTTTGGCAAATAAAATTTTACTGGAAAACATTCTTATTTATTCCTTTATATATGGTCTGTGCTCCTTTCACGGTGCAATGGTAGAGCTGAGCAATGGAGATGCAGATAAGAAAAGCCCTTAAAATATTAACTATGTAGCTATTTACAGAAAAAGTTTGCTTTCTCAGACTGATCTATCAAAACAGGAATGTTGGTTGGGTATATACCTAGAAGCAAACAAGTTCAGAGTTTCTCTTTCACAACTCACTAAACTTCTGTATTTTCTGACTTTTCCAAATCCATTGACTCATTACAGTAGATTACAATATATATTACTGTTACTCTGTCCTAATAAGCCAATTGTGCATATCTAATCCCTAAAAGAAATAGTCAGTTTTTGTGTATGATTAATATTTATCTGTATTTTTTCAATTAATTTATTTATTGAATTCCCATGCTTTTAATCAGACCAATTTCCTTCTGCCCCCAAACTGAATTTTTTTCTTATAATTCATTCTCATTAGAATCAATTTTCTCACTATAGTATGGAAACATTTATTTTAATTTTATTTGTCAAAAAATCATGTTTTATTAATATTTCTTTATTTCATTTTGTTATCTGTACATTTTCAACTGTGATATTCTAGATTGATAGTTATATGTAATACATTGTTAAAATGTCATTGTAGCTTACTTTAGCATTGTTTGCTTCAGTGGAGGAGGTTACAGTCAGCTTTATTGCTTTTCTTTGTAGATGATCTGTTTCTTTACTCCAGTTTAGGGTCTTGGCTTTGCATTTAATTTTCTGCTATTGAGTTATGCTGACATGTGATTTTAATTGGAATTATCCCTCTTGACAGAGCATAGCACTTAGAATTGGTAGGTTGATGCTGTTCAACAATTTGAGAAAGTGATACTGTTTTCTCCAACTAAATGTCTCATACTTTACTCTTTCCTCCTCTGCAGAATTTCAGTTGCATGGATGTTTCACCAGTTCATGAAGCATGATAAATATTTTGTAATCTTCAAAATTCACCTTTCTATATTTCTGTCTTTAAGTCAGTAGAATCGTTTTTACAAACCTGGGTTTAAGTTTAATGATTGAGATTATTTTTTTCCTGAAGAAAAATTTATTAAATGAGTACATTATTCATTTACTCTTTTTAAGAACTGGAATTTGAATTTAGTTATATTTCTACTATTTTAATGCTCATTTTATATGTTCTTTGATGTTTCTTGTGTTTTTCAATCATGTTTAGTTTAAAATGTCTTTTGTCTTCAAGCTCCAACATGTGGCTTATGGTGCGGTAGCTTTTGTTATTGGTTGTTTCTTTTGCACAATTCCATACGCTTCCACAGGCTAAAGAGAAGATACAGAACAATATTATAGTATACCTTTAAATTTTCAAGGTGTTTTTATTGCTCTTGGGCTGTTAGAAATGATCTGAAGGTCTTAATTCAGATACAAACTAACATAAAACTCGGTTGCTGGAATTTTAGGTAGGGACTGTTTACCTCTTTTTGTGGAGCCTACAGAGGTTATGTTTTATTTCTCTTTCAGTTAAGGAGACTTCTTGAGATCTAGTGACTGTTATCTCACCACCTTGGTAAGGACAAAATTTCCATCTAATTTTTAAAAAACTTCTGCTTGATGTCTTAGAAAATGGAGCCATGCCACTTCAGAGTTTCTAAAACACTTCTATGAAGCTCAGTGTCTTTTCAGAATATTTTTAGCAGCTTGGGATCTCCTGTGTCTCCAACTACAGTTTGCTAGCCTTATTAAAAAAAAAAAAAAAGAAAGAAAGAGAAAAGAAAAGAAAAGAAAAATAGACCCAGAATACTGCTGGCTACTTTTTATCACAGTAGCCTCTTGCCTGGGTCTAAGAACTGCTAATTTCAGCTGTTCACCATCTTTTTCCAGAGTATTGGTACCTTTATTCTTTACTTTCCCCATCAGCATTTCATTGCACCTAATGCTGTCAGTTTGAGTTTCCCAAAAGAACATACATAACTACTTTAAGAGTGGAAAGAATTTGATTCTGGAGAAAATTAGCATATGCAGGCAACTACATTCCATAATGACAAGACTTCAAGGTGAAAAAGAAAATAAACTAAAACTAGTTTGATTCTGAGAAAATAATTCATGGTTTTCGTGAATTTATCTTGCTATGCATAATACATGAATTTTTCTAAATTGCAGATTAAACATATATTTTGAAATGCAGTTTGGTTGCCATGATGGTAATCCAAAATGCCATTATTAGTGCAGACGTATTCAATATGCTAAAGCCTGAAGTCATTGTTTAGGGAGAGAGATAGATATGGATACAGATATAGATATAGATCTATTCTATATCTATCAATATCTATAGATCTCTCTACACACACAACACACATACATATTTAATTTGAGAAACATTTCATAGAGGAAGAGGTAGAGCTGATATGATCTAAATCACTGGTGATTTAAATGACACAAAGTATAAAATACAAAGATTTTTTAAAATGATCTGATGTGAAATACAAACACTATTGTAGAAAAGTGCCATTAGAAACATACAAGGAAAGGGAAATTTTAAGACAGATAAAGGGACAAATAAATAAATGGATTTTGGATTGAGTTGTGGCTCAGAAGTAGAGTGCACATCTACGATGCATGAGGCACTAAGTTTGATCCTTCAGCACCACATAAAAATAAAATAAAAATATTGTGTTCACCTATAACTAAAAAATAGTTAAAAAAAAGAATGTATTTTGTCTGACCTTTTGGAAAGAATTTGTATTTTTACCTCTTTAATTTTGACAACATTAATTATCACAAAAGAGCTCTAGTTTGTACTTTTTCACTAGTATATTGCTATAAACAGACAATGGATAAACACATGCAAATGCACAAGTAGACAAGGCACATAAATGGAAGGAAATTGATAGAATCATAACAGAGCACTTTTTCCAGTGAAAGTGTTTATTTAATACTATGAATTTTTTACAAGTTGAGAGTCAAAATTCACCACATTTTACATAGTGTTTTAAAGATAATTATCAAAGGAAATATTGTCTCCAAATTATCACACAATCCAAGAGATAAGGATGAATCAAAATAGGCATGCTGATTTTATTCATTTTTCTCAGATTGGTATATAGTTGGTATTGTTGAAGATATTAAAAAATTTCGAATGTGAAGAAAGTTGGAGATGATTCCAATGAGATAGAGGGTGACAGCCAATAGGCTCAGCAGCTAAAGAAATTCTTCAGTAGAAGCCATAGGACCAGTATCTTCTGTAGCAGAGTGGGCGGCAGCATCCATAACCATAGCCACCATAGCCACCATAGCCACAGCCATAGCCACCATAGCCACAGCCACAGCCACCATAGCCACAGCCATAGCCACAGCCTAGGCCACCATAGCCATAGCCCAGCCCACCATAGTAGTTGCCATAGTAGCAGCTCATGCTGTCAGGAGTGGAGTGTTCAGTTCAGGATCAGGATGTAGGTGTCTTGAGACTGGATGTCACTGTCTACCACCTGCCTTTTATATGCCATGGGTGCTGGGTGGGGAAAACCACAGGCAGTGCATGGTCACATTATCTCACTCATGTGCCTCAGACAACGTCATGGGTATCTTGATTTATTGCAAAAACAAACCTCATAACTGAGATAATTTTGTTCCTATGTCAGGATTCTATGATCTATTCATGGACTTTTTAAGATGAAATTCCTGTTCTATTTTGAATGCCAAGTATTGTTCTACGTATAGTTAATTGAATACTTATGATATGATTATATAGGACCATGTAAGTTATGAAAACAGGTATTTCAATTTGATTTTTGTTTTGTCTTGTTTCCATTCTTAAATAAAAGATGAGATTTTCCTTCCTTCCTTCCTCCCTGCCTACCTTCCTTTCTTCCTTCCTTCGCTTCCTCTCTCTACTTTTCTCTTCTTCTTTGGAATTATCCTTAATTTATATTTCAAGCTTTTCAGAAAACACATGTTAATTTTCCAGTTATAAACCACATTTGCTCCATGGTTCCCTTTTTCATCCCAAATGATGATAATAGATACAAGAGTAAAGCACTGAAAAGTAAAATTTGGTGCTCCACCCTCAACTCTTAGTGTTTTGTAATAAGTGTCACATTCATTCTTTGAAATACCATGGAGGTACAGGATTGGCATGTCTTTTAAAAAGTGCATGGATAGGGCTGGAGTTGTGGCTCAGTGGTAGAGAGCTTGCCTAGCATGTTTGATGCACTGGGTTCGATTCTCAGCACCACATATAGATAATTTAATAAAATGAAAGTCCATCGACAATCTAAAAAATATCTTTAAAATAAAGTTCATGGACAGAACACAGGGACCCAATGCACCATGCACTCATTATTTGCTTCCTCAATTTTGAGCTTATGATGAAGTATTGGTGGAAACAGGATACTCACTTTTTTTAAACATGTTTTTGCTTGAATATCAATAGTTAATTATTCTATAAAGTTCAATTTACATAAAATAAATTAGACCTGTTATAAGAGAATAGATCAACATCTGAGACATAGAAAAATCTAAATTATGTTCCATCATTCTTACTGCAGACATTGGAAGGAAGGAAGGGCTTCCACTCTGATTTTATATTTGCTGAATTCAAAAGTCCTTTGACTCACAAATTCTGCCAGTTCTGCTCCTTACTGTCACTGCACCCTGAAATTATTCACAGGTGCATAGATATGTCAAAAATTTGCTTTCCATCACCCTTAGGTTCTCATTCAAATCACTTGTGACTTCTGAGAGAAATTCATAGGTCTGCTGGCTTCTTTCAGCTACCCATTGACATTTATTTTTCATTGACAATTTGCCAATAATACTTTCAGTATTATTTTTTATTGTGTGTTACAAAAAACAAGACAAGACTGCAAGTTTTCTTCCTTTTAAAATTGGACTATAAATCATGTTTTTTCAGCAGGTTTAGTATATTTAGTGTTAGTTATATTATATTGCTTCACTGAAGCTAAATTTGTGAAATAATTTACTGTTTCATTCATTTGCCTTTTTAAAAGAAAACTAGAATTTTAATTTAATTCTTGGTTCATTTCTACAAGTTTAGTACAAGCTTCAATATGTGGTTTTTGTTATCTGTTGTTTTTTTGTGCATATTTCCATGGGAGTCCATGAGTTCAACTTTGTCTATTAAAATCCTAGAAGATTCAGAACAATATTATACTTCACCTTAGAGAATTGTATTGTTGCCACTGTTCTTGAGCTGTTAGAAAATGTCTGAGTGACCCAATTAAAACAAGGATTAATGCAAAATTAAGCTCTGAATATTGGTTAGGGTCCATTTACCTCTTTTGGTCTAGACTGCAGTGGATGTTCTTTTGTCTCCTCTGATAAAGATGGTTCTTCTTAATTCTAGTGATGATTTTCTCATCACCTTGATAGGAACACCATTTTTTATTATTTTTTAATCTCATTTGAAATGATTCTGCTTTGTGTCTTAGGAAATGGCCCCCTGTGACTTCCAATTTCTACTATATCACAAGGACAAACCTGGCTCTGTTAAGTTCAGTATTCTCCAAGCACATTCTTGTCAGACGGTGTCTTTGTATGTTTCCAACTATGGTTTGTCAGTCCTGAAAAATTAATGGACTCAAAATTGTGCTGGTCACTCTGTGTCACCACACCATCCTGCCTGGCTCCTAGAATGGCCAATTTTACCCCTTCACTCATATTCTCCATCTTCAGAATGTTCTCCCCTTATTCCTTATTTTCCCCACTAGCATTTCCTTGCACTTAATGCCTTCAGTTTGTTTCCCAAGTGAAACATAATGGCTTTAAGTGTGCAAAGAATTTGATTCTGAGAAAATTAGCATATGGAGTCATGTTCATTTGATGAAGACTCACTCAACTTTGGAATAAAAATGAAAATAAACTACTGCCAATTTGATACTGAGAAAACAGCTCATGGTTTGATAAATTTATCTTAGTATTCATGGTACCCAATTTTTCCTAAAGAGAAGAAATTATTATTTATTTTGAAATTATTTATTTTGAAATACTATTGAGTTGCCATGATGATAATACATTATGACATTTTATTATACACATTTTCAATATGATAAAGTCTGCAGTTATGTTTTAGGGAGGAGCTGTAATTACAGATACAGATATCAAGATATCAAAAGAGATAGATTTTTATATATACTAATGTATACATGTGTACATACACATATCTATACATATAAATACACACATCTAAACATCTATGTGTCATTGTATACCCACATTTAATTTGAGATTCTTTCACGAAGGCTGAGCTATAGATGATATCATCTCACCACTGATGGTGCAAATGACACCAATCTGTAAATACAAAGATTTTTAAATGATCTCATGTTGTATAAAAACATTATTGTATATTATACCCATTTTAAAAAGCTTACAATGAAAGGGTAATTTTAGAGGATATGAAAAGACAAAAATAAAACATAATTTTTATGATTCATGAAAGACTGAATATTTGTATATTAATTTAAATTCCTAATGATCACAAAGTAACTCTAACATTCTCTTTTAGTCTCTGTCTCTCTCTCTCTAGCATTTCTATGAACAACACATAAGACTAATCACAAGCACATGTACCAATACACACTCACACACACAAATGGACACATTTCAATAGAATTGTAAGACAGCAATGTTTCCAGTGAAATACAATTTATTTTATAATATGTATTGTTTACATATTGAGAGTGAAATTTGATCAGAATTTACATAGAGTTATAAAGATAATTATTAAATGAAAACGTTTCTCTAATACACAATCAAAGAGTTAAGGATGAATTAAAATAGGCGTGCTGATTTCATTCATTTTTCTAAGACACTTTGGTGTATAGTTGGTATTTCTGAAGACATTTAACATTTTTCATGTGAAGAAAGTTAGAGATGATTCCTGTAAGACAGGACGTGACAGCCAGTAGGCTCAGCAGCTGAGGAAATGCCTCAGTAGAAGCCATAGGAATAGTATCTTCTGCAGCAAAGTGGGCGGCAGCATCCATAACCATAGCCACCATAGCCACCATAGCCATAGAGGCCACCATAGCCATAGCCACCATAGCCACAGCCATAGCCACAGCCACAGCCTAGGCCACCATAGCCATAGCCCAGCCCACCATAGTAGTTGCCATAGTAGCAGCTCATGCTGTCAGGAGTGGAGTGTTCAGTTCAGGATCAGGATGTAGGTGTCTTGAGTCTGGATGTCACTGTCTACCACCTCCCTTTTATATGCCATGGGTGCTGGGTGGGGAAAACCACAGACAGTGCATGGTCACATTATCTCACTCATGTGCCTCAGACAACGTCATGGGTATCTTAACTTATTGCAAAAACAAGCTTATAACTAAGATAATTTTGTTCCTACATAAGGATTCTGTGATCTGTTTATGGACCTTTAAAATGACATTCTTGCTCTATTTTTAGTACCATATACCATTCTAAATTTAGTGAATTGAATACCCACACTATGATTATATAGTACCATGTAAATTATGGAAGTAGGCATTTCCTTTTTATTTTTGTTTTGGATTGTTTCTATTCGTCAATGGAAGAAAAAGGTTTTCCTTTCTTCCTTCCTTTCTTCCTTCCTCCCTCCGTTCCTCTTTTCCTCCTATATTTTTCCCTCCCTCCCACGCTCTCTGTCTTCCTCCTTTCTTCCTTCCTCATTTCTTCTTTCTTATTTTTCTATTCTTTTCTTATTGTGAAATTTGTGTTAACATATTTCAAACTGTCCAGCAAATAAATTACCATTTTCCGCTTAGAAATATTATTTACTCCATGATTTTCTTTATCATTCCAAATAAATATCATGGATCAAGTGTAAAATGCTCTAAGTTAAAGTTGGGTCTTCTACCCTACATTTTTTTTAACAGGTATTTCATTTTACAAGTGTTGAGCAGTACAGGAATGACATGTCTCAAAAGTGTATGGATAGGTCATATAGACAAAATGAGGCATGTGGTTTTCTTTGCTTCCTCAATTTTTAGCAGCTGATGAAGTATGAGTGGGAACAAGGGTACTCAATCATGGAAAGATGTTTTTTGTTTGATATTAATGTTCAATGAAATTAAATTTACTAAAAGACATTAGAACTATTTTAAGAGAACAGATCAACACCTAAGACAGTCAGAGACAAACATAAACTATGTTCCACCACTCTAAAAGTAGGCATTGGAGGAACTGGTAAGGAAGACTGAAGCTTCACTCTGATTTTAAAGTTACTGTAAAATATCCTCTGACTCACAAATCCTGCCAGTTCTGCTACTTACTGTCACTAAACACTGAAAATATTCACAGGTGCATAGACATGATGAAAACCTGCTTTTGCCCATGGTCCTCATTCAGATGATTTGATATTTCTGATAGAGATTCACATGGGTCTGCGAACCTCTTTCCCTTACCAATTGACATTTGTCATAAACTTTGTGCCAGTAATTTAATAATCATTGTATTATGGGACATTTATGTTTGTCTCTGTGTTTTTTTTCTGATTACTAGGGTTTTTGTTTTTTTTTTTTTTGTCCGTATCATGACATGCTACAAGTGGCAAGAAGACCATGGAGAAAATGTAAGTGTTGCAAAAGAAAACAAAGTTTCTTCCTTTTGAAATTGGACAATAAATCATATTTTTGGTCAGATATACTAAATTTAGTATTATGCATATATTTGTTTCTGAAGGTAAATGTATTTAATTTTTTAACACATTATTTATTTGCTTATTGAAGACAACTAGAATTTAAATTTGATTGTTTGGTTCATTCCTCCAATTTTAGTACAAGCTCCAATATGTGGCTCTAATATGCTTGCTTTTGTTATCTGTTGTCTCTTTTGCATATTTCCACAGGAGTCCATAAGCTCAACCTTTTGTATTAAAATTTTAGAAGGTCCAGAACAATATTTGTTTCACCTTAGAGAGTTTTGTTGTTGTTGCTCTTGGACTGTTAGAAAATATATGGTTGATTGCATTAAATAGATCCTAACCAAAATTAGAGTCTAAATTTTGGTTAGGATCTATTTACCTCTTTTCCCTATAGGAAAGAGGAATTGCTCTTTTTTCTCCTTCTTTTAAGGATATTTTTTCCCCTTAATTCCAGCAATGATTTTCTCCTCACCTTGATATGAACACTTTTTTAAAAAAAAAAAATATCCCTTTGAAGTGATTCTGCTTCATGTCTTAGGAAATAGACCCCTGTGACTTCAAAATTTCCAAATATCTCAAGGAGAAAGCTGGATCTTTTGAAGTCAGCATTCTCCCAGCACATGCTTGTCAAATTGTATCTTTTTTCATCTTCAACTATGATTGCCAGCCCTAATATGTTGAAAATAGACTCAGATTTCTGTTGGTTATGCTGTGTCAACAAAGCCTCTTCCCTGGCTCCAAGAATGGAGAATGGTAGAATTTCACCCAACATTTCAAAACATTTTCCATCTTGAAAATATTGGTTTCCACATTCCTTACTTTTCCCATCAGCACTTCATTGCATTTAATGTTGTCAGTTTGAGTTTTCCATGTGAAAAGTAACTACTTTAATAAGAGTGGAAATAATTTGATTATGTAGAAGATTAGCATATGTAGATATTTACACTGGATGAAGACCAGACTGTGGGGTGAAAAGAAAAACAAATTAATGCTATTTTGATGCTGAGAAAATAGCTCATGTTTTTGATAAACTTATCTTGCTATCCCTAATGCATGTATTTTTTCTAAAGACAAGAGTAAACTGTTATGTGTTCAAATTCTATTTGGTCTCCATCATGATAATGCAGAACACAATTATTACTGGAGACATTATGCATATGAAAAAGCCTGTAGTCATTATTTAGGGAGAAGATATAGTGCTGTACACTACACACACATAGATACTTTGAGATTCTTTTTCACAGAGGCAGAGCTATAGATGATCTAATCTGATCACTGAGGGTACTAAAAACATAGGCATATATATAAATAAAGACATGGTTAAAATAGGCTGGTGTGAAATAAAAAAAATGTAGAATATAAAAATTTCAAAAATGTACAAAGGGTAATTTTAGGAGACATGAAAAGACATATAAAAACAGATGTTGTCTGATCTCTGAGAAAGAATTAATATTTTACATCATTAAATTTTAGAACTCTAATGACCGCAAAAGTGTTCTGGCATTTTTATATTGCCCTCCCCCTCCATCTCTAACAAAACACACCACACATATGACTACACACGCAATTACAGAAATACACCTGTCATACCAATTGAGATAATTTAATAGAATTGTAACATACCCATATTTACAGTGAAATATAGTTTATTTCATAATATGTTTTTTACACAAAAACAAGAGTCCAGTTTGATCACATTTATGTAGTGTTATAATAATATAATCAAAGGAAAAATATTTCTCCAAACTATCTTCAATCTAAGAGGTAATGATGAATTAAAACAGTCATGCTGATTTCATTCAATTATCTCAGATAGTTTGGCATAGAGTTGGTATTGTTGAAGACATTCAAACATTCCTCATATGAAGAAACGTGGAATTGATTCTAGTGAGACAGGAGGTTAGAGCCAATAGGCTCAGTAGCTATGGAAATATTTCAGTAGAAGCCATAGGACCAGCATCTTCTATAGCAGAGTGGATGGCAGCATCCATAACCATAACCACCATAGCCACCATAGCCACCGTAGCCACAGCCATAGCCACCATAGCCACAGCCTAGGCCACCATAGCCATAGCCCAGCCCATCATAGTAGTTGCCATAGTAGCAGCTCATGCTGTCAGGTGTGGAATGTTCAATTCAGGATCAGGATGTAGGTGTCTTGTGTCTGGATGTCACCGTCTGCCACCTGTCTTTTATACACTTTGATGTTGGATGGCGAAAACCACAGGCATTGCATGGTCATATTATCTCACTATTATGCTTCAAACAATGTCAGGAATATTTTGACTTATTGCAAAACAAGCCTCATAACTGAGATAATTTTGATCTTACGTAAGGATTCTGTGATCCATATATATATTTAAATGAAATACTTTTTCTATTTTGAATGCAATGTTTCCCTTTCTATTTAATTAATAGAATTTGAATTATTTGATTATATTTGATATAAATCATGAAAATAAGTATTTAATTTTTATTATATTTTGTGTTGTTCTCATGATTCAAAAGAAGGAAAGCTTTTCTTTCCTTCCTTCTTTCTTTCTTTCTCTCTCCATTTCTTTCTTTTCTATTCTTCTCTTCTTGTGAAATTAATCTTGACATACATTTCAAACATTCCAGAAAATAAATGACCATTTGACAGTTGGAAATTAAGTTTGTTCAATTTTCCTCTTCCTTATCCCAAATAAAGTTCATAGATGCAAGTGTAAATCACCCCAAAGTATAGTTGGGTCCTCAATCTTTGACTCTTATTTGCGGTGGGGTACTAAGTAATGAAATGAGGAGTGCTTAACCACTGAGCAACTTCCCTAGTCATTTTTATTTTTTACATTGTGACAGGGTCTTTCTATGGTGCTTAGGGCCTCTCTAAGTTGCTGCCACTGATTTTGAACTTGGAATCCCCCTACCACAGAATCCTGAGCCCCAGAGGCAATGTACAAGGCTTTATTATTTTTAATAGCTGTCACATTTGGTCTTACAAGTATCTAGCAAATGAACAAATGTCATGTCACTTAATAGGTGTACGGATAAGGCAGAGGGACCAAATAAATGATGTGATCCTTCTTTGTTTTCTCAGTTTTTCCTGATGATGAGGTATTGGTGGAAACAAGGTTACTCAATCATAGAAAGATGTTTTTTGTTTGACAGTAATATTCAATAAAATTTATTAAAATATAATTTTCATATTATAAATTATACCTACTATAACCGGACAACTCTATGAGTTAGAGTCCAAAATAAATCTAAATTATGTTTCAACCCTCAAAATGTAGACATTGGAAGAATTGGTCAGGAACGAGGAACTTCTACCCCTGTTTTACAGTTGTTGAACCCAAATGTCCTCTGATGTCTCAAGTCCTGTCAGTTCTGCTCATTGATGTCACCAAACACTGAAAATAATCATAGATGCCTAGTCATAACAAAAACCTGCTTTTCCACATGCGTCTCATTCAGTTGAGACTTCTGAGGGAGTTTCACATAGTTCTGCCAGCCTCTTCCAGCTGCCAATTGACATTCGTTTGTTGTAGAACATGTGCCAATAATTTTTAAGTCGTCGTATTGTGTGTTGTAAAAGAAAAGAAAAGCAAGTTTCTTTCTTTTGAAATTGGACAATAAATATGTTTCTTGAGCAGATATCATTTATTTGCATTTTTAAAAAGTAAACTTGTATATTAATTTGATTCTAGATTCATTTCCCCAATTCAATTACAAATTCTGATATGTGGATGATGTCATCTTTTGCCTGTTTTGCATATTTCCAAGGGAGTCCATAAGTTCAACCTTGTCTATTCAAATCCTAGAAGGTTCAGAACAATATTATGTTTCACTGTAGAGACTAGCACTGTTGGTGCTGCTAGCGGACTATTAGAAAATGTCTGACTGACCCAATTCAAATGAGAATTAATGAAAAAATAGACTCTGAATTTTGGTTAAGGTCCATTTACCTCTCTTGGTCTAGTCTGTAGTAGATGCTCATTTGTCTTTTCTGTTAAGGATAGTTCTTAATTGTGATGATTTTCTCATCACCTAGACATGAGCACAGTTGTATTATATTTTTTACCTCATTTGAAATGATTCTGTTTGTGTCTTAGGAAATGGACCCCTGTGATTTTCAATTTTTAAAATATCTCCAGAAGAAACCTGGCTCTGTTAAAGTCAGAACTCTCCAAGCACATTCTTGTCAGATTCTGTCTTTGTGTATCTTTGACTATGGTTTGCCAGCCAGGAAAAATTAAAAGTGGACTCAAAACTCTGCTGGTTACTCTGTGTGACAGCATCATCCTGCCTGGCTCCTAGAACTGCCAATTTCACCCCTTCACCCATTTTCTCCTTCGTCAGAATGTTCTCCTCTTATTCCTTATTTCTCTCACTAGCATTTCCTTGCACTTAATACTGTCAATTTGTTTTCCAAGTGAAACATAACCAATTTAAGAGTGCAAAGAATTTAAATACAGGGAAAATTAGCCTATGTAGGCTTGTACATTTAATGAGGACTAGAGTTTGGGATGATAAAGAAAATAACCTCCTGCTAATTTGATACTTAAATGTGACTCATGGTTTTGATTAGTTTATCTTTCTATGAATAAAACCAGTTTTTTAAAAATAGAAAATAAATTCATATATTTTGAAATACTATTTAGTTGCCATGATGACAATCAATAATATGATTTCAATGCATACATTTTCAATAGCATGAAGTCTGAGTCATTTTGAGGGAAGAAGATAAAAATACAGATACATATATAGATATTGCTATAGATATAGATACACATAGATAGGTATACATACATGTGTACATACATATATCTATGCATATCTATATCTATATATAGACTTACATATAGATAGATATATAGATATAGATACACTTTTATTCACCACTGTAAAAAGTGCAAACAATTACTTTGAGACACTTTCACAGAGGCAGAGCTATAGATGATATAATGTAACCACTGGCAAGATAAACAACACAAAACTTTAAAAGAAAGATTTTAAAATGATCTCATATACTCACATTATTGTATATAAAAAAACCATCTAAAAAACTTACAAAGGGTGATTTTAGAAGATATGAAGAGACACATATATATATAAACAGATTGTGTATGATCTTTTAGAAGTAATACCCATGCAATATTAATTTTTGGATCCCTACTGACCACAGAAAAGATATGTCATACTTTTTTTCCTCTCTCATATTTTCATTAAACCCCTGCACCTGATTAATCACATCCAAATGCACAAATAGACATGTTTCACTGAGGGAGACAAATAAAAATAATTGTATCAATGTAATATTTCCAATGCAACACTTTATTTAATATAAGGACATTTAACATAGAAGTTGAAAAATTTCATCAAATTACACACACTGTGTAATTATCAAGAATAAACATTTCTCCAATCACACAAATCAAGAGATAAGGATGAATCAGGTAGTTGATTTCATTTCATTCATTTTTCTCAGATGCTTTGGAGTATAATAGGTATGTTGAAAGCATTTAACATTTTTCACATGAAGAAAGTTGGAGATGATTTCTGTATGAAAGGATGTGACACCCAATAGGCTCAGGAGCTGAGGAAATGCCTCAGTAGAAGCCATAGGAATAGTATCTTCTGTAGCAGAGTGGGCGGCAGCATCCATAACCATAGCCACCATAGCCACCATAACCACAGCCTAGGCCACTGTAGCCACAG